GGTCGCCTGGAGGTGGTGGTGGCGAAGGAGGAAGAGGATGAGAAGGATAATGATGAAGAACAAGAAGGGGACCCCAATGGGACCGGGCCAAAAACCTCCTTGGAGGAGGCAGGGCTGGGTCACAGGTCCCCCCAAGAGGCCCCCTGGGAGAGCTCTCCCAAAGACCCCCATCAGGAGCATCTTATGCCCCGAAAGACCATCGTGCCCACTGACTTAAAGTCTCTCCTTGCATGTGGGATGCCAGTTGAGATGGATGCCCCCTCTTGGAAGGACGTCCCGTGGAGGAAGGAGGCCACCAGAGGTCCCCACCAGGAGCTTCATGAGTCGGGAAAGACTGGCATCCCCGACTTCTGCTCTCCCCATCCGAAGGAGGCCTGCGGGCTGCAGGCGGAGAGGGACGATGCTCCCTGTTGGAAGGACGTCCCGTGGAGGAAGAAGGCCATGGAGGGGGCCCACCAGGAGCATCTCGCACCAGGAAAGATAGTGCCCACTGACTCCAGGCCTCCCCTGGCGAAGGAGGCACCTGGGCCGCAGGCGGAGAGGGACGATGCTCCCTGTTGGAAGGACGTCCCGTGGAGGAAGGAAGCCACCACAGACCCTCACCAGGAGCTTTATGAGTCAGGAAAGACTGGCGTCCCCGACTTCTGCTCTCCCCATCCGAAGGAGGCCTGCGGGCTGCAGGCCGAGACGGGTGTCCCCTTTGTGAAGGGTGCCTCGTGGAGGAAAGGGCAGGATGTTCAGCATGCCCTGCGGGAAATCACCAGGAGGAAGATGGAGGCCCTGTCCTCATCCTCGTGGGACCAGGGCCCTCGGAAGATGTGCAGCCATCTCCACCAGCTTTGCCGCCATTGGCTGCAGCCCGAAAGGAACACCAAAGTTCAAATGCAGGACCTGGTGGTCCTGGACCAGTTCCTTGGCTTCATGCCCCCGGAGGTGGAGAGCTGGGTCCGGGAGTGTGGAGCAGAGACCAGCTGCCAGGCGGTGGCCCTGGTTGAAGGCTTCCTTCTGAGCCAGGCGGAGGAGGAGAAGGAGAAGGCAGAGCTGCAGGTGAGAGGCCTTCACTTGGCAAGCTCAAAATGGACGTCAAAGAATAACCATAGGTTAGGATTCTTACAGGCTTACTTTACACAGGTAGTCCTTGGTTTATGACTATAATGGAGGCCAACATTTCTGTTGTTCAGGGAGACATGTGTTCAGTGAGTTTTACCTCTTTCACGACGTTAAGTGAATTGCTGAAAGAGTTAGGTTAGTAAGCCGGTTGATTCTTTATTGCGTTCTAGTTTAGCCCTGTTGGTTTTATTGTGTACTGTCGCGTTGATTGGAAACGGTGGGCGCATCAACTATAACTGAATACTGACTGTCCACGGCTTACGAACCACAATGGAGCCCAACATTTCTCTGGTGAAGTGAGGCATTTGTTAAGTGAGTTTTGCAGCCTGTCTTGCCACAGTTGTTAAGCGAATCACTGCAGTGATTAAGCCAGTTGTGAAGAGAATATGGCCTCCCCATTGACTCTTGCTTGTCAGACGGTCACAAATGGGGATCACGTGACCTTCTCCCCCCCCCCAAGGACACAGCAAGTGTTATAAATACGAGCCGGTTGCCAAGCGTCTGAATTTTGATCACGTGAACCTGGGGATGCCGTAAAGGTTGTAACTGTGAAAAATGGACATAAGTCACTTTATTCAGTGCTGTTGAAACTTCGAACGGCCACTAGATGAACTGTTGTAAGTTGAGGACTACTTGTAGTGTTATGAAGATAGGAAAGAAAGGAGATGTTTAATGCCAATTGTTCCCGGTGAGCATCTGCTTCCTTTTTTGTACGTTCCATTATTTGTACTTTTTGTTGCTTCCTCAGGTCCTTCAGTTCCAGAGGGCTGACTTGAAGACCATCCCTGAGGATCTGGAGAAAAGGAGGGATCCACCAGAGCCTTCCCAGGAGATGTTCTTCAGGGAGATCTTCCATGAAGATCAAAGTCAGGCCATCTCTCCCAGTAAGAGAAAGTTCCTCAGAAAGAGGCACTTTTCCCCCCTCCCCTCATTCTCTGGGCCCTGTTTTGCAGAATCCTTACCAATAACATAATTACTATTTTTCTGGGAATTTTATCTCTAAAATTTTGCCCTAGTGACCTCCCGTCTTGACTATTGCAGCACGCCCTCTATAGGGCTTCCCCTGAAGAGCATCCGAAAGCTCCAGTTAGTGCAAAACACAGCAGCCCGCATGATTTTGTGCAGACCTTGGTTGCACATGTATTACCTCTCCTGCGGGAACCACATTGGTTGCCCATTTGCTTCTGGGTGCAATCCAAGGTCCTGATTATCCCCTTTAAAGCCCTTCATAGCTTGGGACCAGGTAATAATAGTAGTAGTAGTAGTAGTAGTAGTAGTAGTAGTAGTAGTAGTAGTAGTAGTAGTAGTAGTAATAAAGTTGGAAGGGGCCTTGGAGGTCATCTAGTCCAGCCCCCTATACCATTTCAGACAAATGGCTGTCCAGTCTCTTCTTAAAAACTTCCAGTGTTGGAGCATTCACCACTTCTGGAGGCAGGTTGTTCCACTGGTTAATTGTTCTAACTGTCAGGAAGTTTCTCCTTAGTTCCAGGTTGCTTCTCTCCTTGATTAGTTTCCATCCGTTGCTTCTTGTCCTGCCTTCAGGCGCCTTGGAAAATAGCTTGACTCCCTCTTCTTTGGGGCAGCCCCTGAGATACTGGAAGATTGCTATCATGTCCCCCCTCGTCCTTCTCTTCATTAAACTAGACATACCCAATTCCAGCAGCCTTTCCTTATATGCTTTGGCCTCCAGTCCCCTGATCATCTTTGTTGCTCTTCTCTGTACTCTTTCTAGAGTCCCTATTTGAGGGACTGTCTCTTGCTGGTCACATCTACCCGACCCACTAGAGCGGGGAGGCAAGGAACGTTCCGGGTCCCGTCCCCTAAGGCAGAGGTCCCCAACCTTTTGGCACCAAGGACTGGTTAACACAATGAGAGGTTTTTCTGCGGACCGGAGGGGGCGTGGTTTTGTGTGCTGCCTGCATCCTGCGGATGGGGCTTTGCTTGTTTGTGCGGCCCAGTTGCTGGCATGCCGCGGCCCGGTATCAGTCCATGGACCAGGGGTTGGGGATCCCTGCCCTAAGGAGATACATCTGGTGGGACCCAGAAGAAAGGCCTTCTCTGTGATGGCTCCCTTTCTCTGGAACATCATCGCCCCAGAGATTAAACTAGCCCCCCACTTTAACACTCTTTCGGAAGGCGCTGAAGACGTGGTTCTGCCAGCGGGCCTAGGAATACTAAATGGCTAGTATGAATGTGTGTTGTCATCAGGGGTGGGGGGGGGGTTTATTATTTTATTATTTTTCTTACTATTTTTACTTCTTTTAAATGGTGTTTTTTATATCCCCGTAAGCCGCCTTATTTTCCAAATAAATAAATAAATATTTCTCGCTTTTTATCTCACAGGAGAGTCGGCATTCGTAGATTCTTCCACTTTTTCTGATGGAGTTGAAAAAGCAGCCATTGAACATCCAACTCAGGTAGGAGCCAAAGTGTCAACGATGATAGATCAGCTGAAGGTGATTTTTGTCATATACTCTACGTACGACGTCTATGAAGATTCTCAGTTATCCAGGTCCTAGTTGTTATCAAAGGTAGGTTTTTATTTTGAAAAGGGCAAACTGGACTGATTTTGAGGAAAAATGAGATGTTTCGCTTCCTATCCTGGAAGCTCCATCAGTTGAATTAGTAACCACAATGGTCTCTCGGAGATTGTTAAGATCAGTTGACTGCAAAGAAAACACAATCTTTCCATCCCCTCCTCCCATCCTGTCAGACCTCTTCCCTCTCCCAACTAATCTCAACTGTCAGTAACTCCATCTCCCACAGCATCCAGTACAACTGATGAATCTTCCAGGATGAGAAGCCAAATCTCTCGTTTTTCCTGAAAAAATTAGTCCAGTTGCCCTTTCAAAATAAAAGCCACTTTTGATGCATCCACATAGGATATTATTGGTTCTGAAAAAAACATGAAATAGAGGTTCAGAATGGCTGATCAGTAATATTTAACTTAACTCCCCTCTCAGAATTGTTGTTAGTCTGACAAGAAACCAAAATTAGTCTGCATTCAGAATGTTGCTAGCACTTCACAACAAACAGGACTGGAGGCTAAAACATATAAAGAACGGTTGCTGGAATTGGGTATGTCTAGTTTAATGAAGAGAAAGACGAGGGGGGACATGATAGCAGAGTTCCAATATCTCAGGGGCTGCCCCAAAGAAGAGGGAGTCAAGCTATTCTCCAAAGCGCCTGAAGGCAGGACGAGAACCAGCTGATGGAAACTAACCAAGGAGAGAAGGAACCTAGAACTAAGGAGAAATTTCCTGACAGTGAGAACAGTTATTCAGTGGAACAACCTGCGTCCAGAAGTTGTGAATGCTCCAACATTGGAAGTTTTTAAGAAAAGACTGGACAATGATTTGTCTGAAATGGTTTAGGGCAGACATGTCAAACACAAGGCCCGGGGGGCCAGATGCAGCCCACGAAGTGGTTTCATGTGGCCTGTGAAGCCATCCTGGAAACAGTGAGGGAACGCCCCCTCTGCCTTGGCCCTGGCCCAGGCTGGCCGGGAGCCATCTATTCTGAAACGCATTCAGTCTTAGCTCCACAAGGCCATCTAGAAACAGCGAGGAACCAGCCCCTGCTGTGTTGGCCCCGCCCTCTGGGTGCATGCTGGGAGGTTTCACCCTTTGTGAGGAATGAAGAAATGCATCATCACCTGGAAGTGGTCCCGGTCCCACCCTCTTCTGCCAGAGACCCTCAGATCTGTCCCACTCCTGCCCAGGCCCCCATAGGCACCCTTGACGCAAACGATGTAGAGCTGGCCATGCCCACCCAGTAGGCCACACCCACTCCATCCACGCCCACCCAG